TTTTTTTTTTTTTTTTTTTTTTCAGGTGGAGTTATCATGCATTTCTGTTGACATTTCTTGCTCATGACTACTAACACTTATTTATGACACCAGATCAGCTACACTTTTATGCTACAGTTTCTGCACTTAATAATGTTGTGGTAAGCTCAGCAACCACGATATGACTAACGCTGTCTTGCTTTACTTGTCTTCTTTGTCGGTTTTGGTTTGGCAAACTAGGGCCTCATTAGGAGACTGGGATCCGGTGTTTCGAGAATGTAATTCAGCTTGTATTCAGGACTTGAGATGTCCACAGAAACCAGACACGTTCAAATGGGTGTATGAGCCATGTTTCGGGTGAGCCAATTTTTTTCAGTTCTACAAATTTGTTTTAATTATTGTGAACACTTTAGCGTTCTAAATGAACTTGTCATTCTTGTGTTTTTTTATATAAAAAGTTCAAGGTGACATCGTACTTTCTTGAAATCAATTTTTATTTTTTATATATCGATTCCTCTCATATTTAAAAATCAATTATGGTGATTTCTTTAATCAATACTGCAGCTGTCGCCAAAATTGCATTTGGAAAACACTTGACAATCATCTTGCCTCAGTAGAAGACGGATCAGTATTACAGTTTTACGGGAAATGGCCATTTCTTTCGTACAGTTTACCATTCCTTTCGTTTATTCCTATGCAGGTATTAATTCAAGAAGAATTTTGGGCAAAATTGTTGACAGTGATCGTTTAATCTTACTTGTCGATAACTTGTAGATAAAATTATCCACTACTTCTTATCACTGTTATCGTTTCAGAATATTTCAATTTTAAAAAACTTTTCATTATCAGGAGCCAGCATCGGTCATTTTTTCTGTCTTGAATCTCTTTACAACACTGTATTTATACAAAGGTGCCTGTCGTATGCCGCGAGAGTTTTTTATGCGCAATGTCTGGAGGACATATGCTGGTATTGGTATCTTTGCTTGGTGAGACTACTTATAATTCTTGAATGAAATATTTCCTCGGTAAAATGTTACTTGTTAAGATCCTTCAGTCACTTTAGCGAATGTAATTCATCTTGTATCCAGGATCTGAGATGACCCCAGAAGCTCCATGCTTTCAAGTGGGTGCATGAGCAGCATATAATTTAATTAGTCATTTTACAATTTAGGCTCTCTTCTACGGCTTTTCATTGGTCTGACTTTTGGTTGACGGAATACCTAGATTACTTTTCAGCTTATGCTGTTATCATGTTTGCTTTCTTTACTAGCGTTTCATTAGTCATAGTACCGCTTCATCGACTGCGCTTTATAACGTTATGGTATGTTTAGTTACTTCACCATTTTTAGCAAAAATTTTATCACAATATTTTTATGTGTCCTGCTGAGGCACTAAGTAGTTACAGCTGAAATTGCAGGAAGCAGAGCTGATACGTGGGTTTATGATACACTTCCGGTAGAAAGATATCATTTTGACTGGATTTGAATTTTTTTTAAATGTATTTTTGGTTTTGTTTAGTTTTCTGTTCTAAAGCTTTGAATTTTGCAGTTTAGTTAATAGAAAATTTATGGGCGTTATTTTGGAAACAAAGAATTATTTCCAATCTGGATTTTGAAATTAAAATCTTTTTGAGTTTTCTTTGTGCAGAGCACAGCTGTGGCTATTCTTTAGCGGATTCAGTAGAGGTTGGGACTGATTCGACTAACACATTTTTTTATCCGAGAAGTACTTTATAGATCATGCATGATGTAGAAAAAACAAGTGCCACTTTTGTGAAGAACTTGTTGTTGCGTTTTAAAAATACCGGGATGAATAATGGTCATTCTTGTTGTGCAGAGAATTGCATTTGTCGCGTTATGTAGCTATAAAAAAAAAAAGCTTTTGCACTGATTTTTTGAAAGTTATTTTGCATCAAATACCAGATGCAACTGGTTTTAATGAAAAAGTGGCGATGTGAAAGACTCAATTATTTATTTTAATCACCGGTATTAATTTATAGATTGATTTTACGGTATTATTCATTCTTTTTTCTTTTTCTTATAGCAATTTCTTTGCTTTTTGCAACCATAACTTTTTTTAGCTGGAAATTCTTGTTTCTTATCCTTCTTTATGTGTACGTGAAGCATGTCAGGAGCATGATAGTATGTGATTTATTCATCAGATTAACATTTTCTTCAACGTTCACATTTGTCTTAGACTCGTTTTTTATTCTTTTTTTTTTTCTAAGACCTAATGGTTTTGAAAGGATCTTAAAAGAATTTATGTTAAATGTGTGACTGTGAAAAGGGGAAAATACATCAGTACATCTTGTTCTTATATTTATATTGTACACTATAGCAAACGTAAGTTAGACCTAAATTTGCTGAATAAGTTAATTTTGAGGCATACTTCGATTATGGCTATAACATGTGGTGTTGTTTGTCTTATTCATTCGCAACAGTTGTAGTTTATTGTTTTTGGATGGTATATCAGTGGAAACTTCGTTCTAAATTCCCTTTTCAACGGAGGTCTTTGTTTCACCTTGCTGCTGCAGTAACTTTTGGTCTTGGATCGGGGGCGTTTGAGGTGACAGACAGCTTTCTTGTGTTTTTTTAAATACTTTTTAAAATTAATTTTCTTGTTGTCGGATGTCTTTTGTATTTTATCAGAAAAATTTTTTTTCAGTTGTTCGATTTCCCTCCGCTAATGTGGGTCTTCGATTCCCACTCATTATTTCATCTGGCTACTGTGCCTGTTCCGTTATTTTTGCTCCGTTTCATACAACTGGAAAACAATAGTGATTTAGTAAACTCTCGCGAGTATGCAAAAATGGCTTGATTTCTTGACCTGCTGAGGTATGCAGTTTCTTGTGAAAAGATCCGAATGAACTGGAAAGTTGTTATAAGCTGTTCTTTTTCTGATGGATATTATTTTAGTGAGTGGAGGCCCGATATGAGAATCAACATTACTGTTTTGAAAGAATGACCAGAGGAGCACTGCGTCAAGTTTTTGGTTTTTTTGAAGTATGACGGTTTTCATTTCTCTTTTCGCTAAACATCGCAAGATACCTCAAAGTGACTCAGCTATCTTCTCTGAGACAGTTGCGTCTTCTTCTGTCCTACTGTTTCATTTTGTAATGAATAAGAATAGTTAACAAGTAGTTCAAAGAGCAGGAAAGAAAACGGGTCCTGTGATAACGTATGTAATTACATGCTGGTCATGACAACATTAAAATACGTTTTTAAAGTGTATTATTGTTGAAAAATTTTGTTGTTAGAAACAGAGGTTCTATGATGGGTTTTTCAGGTTTGTGATCCAGAGCTTTGCTAATTTAGATTTGCACCAAAAAATAGAGTTTGCAGTATTTTTGTTCAAATATAAAAAGTTTATTTTAACCAAGTTTTTTATTGGTGGTGTTTTAGTGTGCTTCTTTAGCAAGTAATAAGTTTTGTAATCCTCTATGTATAGTTAGATTTTTCATATAAACTTTCTTTTGTGGATATGATCTCAAGTCACTTGTTTTTACCAGTTGTACTAAATTTTTCCGTCTTTTTCTTTGGTTGGCTTCTATTATCAGTGCGGAAACTCTTTAATGAAAATTTTCATTGTGCAATAAAAGAATGGATGTCGTAGGGTAATGTAAAAAACAGTCATCAAAGTCTTCATTCTGCTGTTGAAAGTAAAAGATTTCAAAAAGTGACTGTTGGTTTTTGAAAGTTGCCTAAATTAGCCAACTTGATGAAAATAAATGGACCAAGGATGTTTATGAATAACAGTTTTTGTGAACCTTAACAACACTGAGAGTACCTGTTGAGGGTAAAAGAAAATTGTTCTCCTAACAGTTAGCACTTTTTCATCTTTAATCATAATTTTTGAATAATTGTTTTGAGATCAACAGGAATTTACAATTGTAGCTTTTAGTTAATCTCAGACACTACACTTTCCTGTCTAAATTTGCTTACTCAACTATCTTTCCGTTCGTTTAGCAATTCAACTATTAATCTACTAGTTTTTTCTTTGTTCGTTTTATTATGCATGTATGTATATGGGCCATTCCATGCTAAGGCGCATAAGTTTGCACCTCGACTTTTCAGATTTTTTTCATTTCTTACCCACTTGTAGCACTTGATACCGGATCCGGATTTTGAAATTGAAAGAGTTAACCTTAAAAAGTGTGCCGACGACAAAGTTATACTCGCGTTTATTTCTAATTTCACGTCCAAAAAAACGAGCAGGAAAATGCACTGCTTCGGGAAAGGTTCCAGAAGTTCTGGCGGAGTGCCACTGTGTTGTACGGAAATGACCGGAAGTTATGCGAGCGAGCTCTGGAAAGGTATGCATAACTTTTGTGTATCACGGGTAAATGAGGTGTGACAAAGAGATATCGTTGTTTATCAGTGTATATTCTGTTCGATTTCGAGATTTGTTGCTTTTTGGCCTCGTTTTTGCGGAGATATTCGCAGAATGTGAGACCGCTTACGTTTTTTACACATACTTTGTAACTTAATTACTTTAATAACTTTGTTAATTGCTCGGAAACAGCTGTCAATTTTCTTACTGCAGGGTTCTACGTACTTGACAGTTACAGAATATGTAAAAAAAATATGGGGTCCGGACAGTCTGAGAAAGCCAGGCTGTCCTGAAGACCTAGTTTACTAAAAAATAAGGAAATGATGATGTCATGGTAGAAGAAAATCAAGAAATATTAAAAAAAGAAGGGGCATGAAAGAGCGACAAAAAAGCTCATGCTTTTACTGAAATGTTTTAGGAAGAAGGGTAGTGTTTTCGAAAGTAAAAACTGCTGGTTTACGTGCTTGCTGAGAACTTACGGACGGCGTTTGGGAGTAACAGAGTTGTCGTGGTGCTCGACAACGCACCATATCATTCCAAAAGGCTGGACCGGATCCCGACCTTAGCGGATACGAAGGAAGTGCTGGCATTGTTCCTGCAGCAGCACGACATCCCCTTCGACATGGCGTAGACCAAGAGATCGATGTTGCAAGATATTCGTTAGCATACCGCTGGGAAGGAAGAGCAGTTCCAAAGCTACGTGATTGACAAAATTGCGCAGGACAGAATGGTGGAGATCCTTTGACTACCGCCTTTCCACTGCCAGTTTTCGCCGATAGAACTGTTCTGGTGTTGGCTCAAGAGGGAAGCCCCGAAGAAGGCGTACCCGAGCATTGAGGTCGAGGAGCTGGAGGACCTTACGCTCCAGGTAGAATACATTTTCATGATGAACAATAAGGGAACACGA